AGGCAGGGAGATGTCACATCCGCTGCTGCGGAGTCGTTGTTTTTTAGCTTGATGCATGTAACCCCAGTCCGTTTGACTTTGTCACGTGCCTCCCAACATCCGGAAACTCTTCTTGAGTTGTGTTTTAATGGTGAAGTAACGGCAGTACTTCTCAAATATTGAGGGATGGGTAATGCTTGAATGATAACAAGCCTCCAGTCACTAGGTGGCAGCAACTCATACAGTTGGTTTGTACAGATAGAAATATACATGTTCTCAATAGTATTTCAATTCGCACTACTTATCAGTGAGGAAACCCAGACTTTTGTTGAGCACATTTGACTCACCCTAAAAATAATGATCATTTAAGATGGTCAGTGAATCAGTCCTACTCAGTGCTGCTGCAAGGTGGGTGGGGGTGGGTGTGTGTAAAGACAGAGGCTTAAAGACGTAAGAAAACATTCATTCATCATCATCAATTGTTATTAACATTATTTCACCGAGAGCCTGATTTCTGGGATGATTTTTTTCTGTAATCTTAATCTGAAGTGACAGGATTTCAGTTTCAGATGCTAACACAGCTGGATACAAGTGTGTGTGTGTATGTGTGTCTTTGTTTGGTTGCCAGGCAACGGTTGACTGGTTGTATTGGTCTGTGTGTGCGTGTGGGGCGGGGAGGGGGTGTAATTATGTGTTTGCTTTGTGGAATCTCGGAGCTGAATTTGTACAGGCCGAGACCACGTTGATCCAGATCCGCTCTGATCTGGTCTCGGTCTCTTCTCCTCTGATGTCAAATGCTATGACAGTCACATCACTGACTGTGCCTTGAGTGCCCCCCCACCCGTCCCCCCCTTGCACTGACAACCCTTCCTGCTAACTGTTTCAGCTAACTACGTCTGGACTGCCTCTCCCTGTTTTGCTGTTTTGGTCCAACTTTGCCAACCTGTAGGTTAAAGCTAACTGTACCTTAAATGTTATACGCAGATGACGCATTTTTATTTTTATTACAGAGAAAATATGAATAATACTGTAATTTCCGCTCTATAAGCCGCTACATTTTTTATTTTTCTCATGGGCTACTGTGTGTTATACTACTGTCTGTGAATGGCTGTGTGCGTATATGTGCGTGGAGAGAGAGCGAACGTTAGCTAAAGTTGAGAGCGGTTTGAGCCCCTGTCGTGTTGAAGTGTGAGTTGGTTATACAGGAGCTGTTAAAGCTCTGTTTATGTTCTGTTGTGGTCAGTGTGGCTGATAATAAAGACCCCAACTTCACTGTTTCTGTTTACCTCTGCTGTGGACAAGCACAAAGTGAAGGGAGTTAGCCCCGGAGCTAATGTTAGCTGCAGCCCCGGAGCTAATGTTAGCTGCAGCCCCGGAGCTAATGTTAGCTTCCGCCCCGGAGCTAATGTTAGCTTCAGCCCCAGAGCTAATGTTAGCTTCAGCCCCAGAGCTAATGTTAGCTTCAGCCCCGCAGCTAATGTTAGCTTCAGCCCCGCAGCTAATGTTAGCTTCAGCCCCAGAGCTAATGTTAGCTTCAGCCCCGCAGCTAATGTTAGCTTCAGCCCCGGAGCTAATGTTAGCTTCAGCCCCAGAGCTAATGTTAGCCTCAGACCTGGAGCAGATCACTAAGTCTCCCCTGTTCATTCCAACTATTATCGGGGCGCCAAAGCAGGAAAGAGCTAACGTGTAACCAGCCGTGTTACAGGAACTGTTCGGGAAAAAAAGCGTTTATTTAATTTAAAAGAGAAAATAAATCTTTCTGTGTAAATATCCCATGTTACAACGTGGACACCTGCGGCTTATAGAGAAGTGCGGCCTAAATATGTTACAATTATTGTTTTCTTTTTAAATGTAGTCGGCGAGGGTTATATTCAGGTACGCTTCGTAGTCTTTCAACATCGTACACCCTGCTGGTTCACGTCGTACACTCTTTGAATAAGGATACAAGGTTACAATCATTATGCTTTTGTGAAAAATGTTTCAGAAATCGAAAGTCAGTCGTCAGATCCGTTAATCCACGAATCCGTTGACTTTGTCACTGACATATAAACAAAGTAAAGAGGAGAGACTCAGTCATTAATCAACTTTGACTTTTTATTGATCCAACTGTTTATAAATCTCATTTTTAAAAACCACACAGAGGAAGTGATTTGTGTCAGGGAGACTTTGTTCGTCTCTGCTCGGCCCTCTTTAATGTTCCCATCAATAATGTTGTTTATTTCTTTGTTTATTTTGCCTGGAGCTGCACGTTTGGGGGCATGGTTCCAACACCGAGGCTGGTTTTTCAGTCTGCAGCCATGTGGCAATTGCCTAATGTTTTGACTAAATATATGCTGTTTTTTTAAAAAAATGATGTACTGAAATGTAACACTTTTTGAAGTTACATACAATTGAATAACATACAGTGTTGCTGGCCTTGCTGTTAGCGCCCTCTTTCCTGGTTACCAGTAAAGAGATAATCCTCCTAAGTCTAAGTCCATTGAGAACATCTGGGTTTTTTTTACATCACCTGGACAGCAGGAGTTCTTGGTCCGCTGCTGCCTCTTGTGGCCAGTTTGTACCACCTGAGAGATGCAGACTATTTTTTATACACTTACGTCACAAAATAAGACATTTAAACTTTACTGTTAGAGGTGACAATGTATCAGAAAATGTTTTTTTTTTTTTCAGCTCAGTTCAGACTATTTCACATTTGACTATAATTTAGCTCCTGAAGTTCAACTTGGTTTTTTTTTTTT